TTCCGAATATTGACATGGCTGATTTAAATTTTAATAATCAAATCGATGCTTTAATTTGTTACAAAAAAGTAAATGCGAAGCAGATTCAAATTCAAAAGCTCACAAACGTTGTCCTTCTTCTTCTTCATCCTCCTCATCGTATTGCTCTAAATTGTATTCCAATAATTCCGGATCACTATTCTCATCAACCATTTTAACTTCATGACTTTTTTTTTTTTTTGGAAAGAAAAATTAATATTAATAAATACTATTATTTAATTTTTGTCATAATGCATAGAATATTACCTTTCCAATTCTGGGTCACTTTTTACATCAGTCATTTTGACTTCATGACTGTTTTTTTTTTTTTTTTTTAATAAAAAAAAAAGTTAGATTTTTGTCATAATAACATTGAATATAATATTATTACCTTTCCAATTCCGGATCACTTTTCACATTAATCGTTTCGGCTTCATGACTTTTTTTTTTTTTAAAAAAAAAAAAAAAATTGGTAAAATGCTATATTTAATAATTACGTTGAATAGAATATTACCTTTCCAATTCGCTTTTTGAGATTTCTAGTTGTGCTGCAGTTAATTTGCTTATTCGGTCATACTCTTTATCGTCTAGCTCATATTTCTCAGGTTTCTCAGCAGTTGCACCTTTACGAACCCAAAGTAAAGCAGATATCATGGTTAATGCTTGAAGAAATTAATGAAATCTAACGCTAAGATCTTATCTAAAAATTTTTAGTAGATAATATTACGTAATCACATCTTGATTATCAAAAGGTTTTAAATGCTGCATTTCAGCAAGTAAAACCTTAAATAATGTCATTTAGCATATTGGTTAGAAAGGCCTTTAACACCATTTCACCTTTCACTTTTCAATGTAGTCAGCAGCCAAATTCAATGTCTTACGCTACTCTCAACCAAGTAATCCGTGGTATGCGTAAGACGAAACGTAAGATATCAAAGTCACCAGCTTTAGAAGGATGTTATCAAAAAAAGGGAGTCTGTAGTAAAGTTTACACAACCAAACCAAAGAAGCCTAATTCTGCAGTACGAAAAGTTGCTCGAGTTAAATTATCCACCGGTAAACTTATCACCGCTTACATACCCGGTGAAGGACATAACTTGGTAAGAAATAATTGTTTATAGAACTTTATTAAAAACGTTTTTTAAAAAAATTTTTGGTTTATTTAATCTATCAAATATTTATGAAGAGTGAACATAGCAATGTTCTGGTACGGGGTGGTCGAGTCAAAGATTTACCAGGAGTTAGATATCACCTCATAAGAGGCGCTTTAGATTTTTCAGGAGTTCCGAATCGGTCAACTTCTCGTTCAAAATATGGAACTAAAAAACAAAAAAGCAGCCCCAAAATAATCTAGTTAGAATTAATTATTAAATAACTGAAAATGAAAAAAATAAAATAACTATATGCAAAGACCTGTCAAATCCTGATCCAATAATACTTCCCGGCTTACAAAAACTTAAGCATTGATCTATAAAATACACATACTCTAACTGCACACTTAAATTTTTATCATTGCTTCAATGGTATACACTTGAAAAGGTATTGTCATTCCGGGAATATGTCACATAAAGTGTTTGATCATAATAAAAATAAAATTACAAATTTCGTTTAGATTTACTAAGACAATCTTCGCTTTTTAAGTAAATAAAATATGTTCGACACAGAATTTTACTCTATGTGGATGCTAGTTCCATTTACTCAGCCCTTTTACTAAGCAAAAAAAAAAACAATTCAATTAAATAGCCTTAATTTTTAGGACTAATAAAAAAAATTAAGCTTCAAAATCAGTCGAAGTTTACTTAGTAAAAAGGACTATTCTACATAAAATTCTGAACGCGATAAAAATTGGGTATAATAGAAATTTACTGGGAAAGTATAACTGACGTATACATGTGTAAGTTGCGTACAGTCAGCTACAAGATGCATACATATTAGTCAAATAAATTGACACACCTAAATTTTATATGTAAAACTTAAAAAAGTTCTTTTTTTAACTTACTCGTAAGATGAATGTAAATTTTCTTCAAAATTTTAAACAAAGTTTCTTTGAGATTATTCCCTTACGTAAAGTTTGAGTATCAGTTGAAAGTAAACCTGAAAATAATCTTGATCCCAAAGTTGGGCAATTCTTTTTATGTTCTTTATAAAACATTATATAATTGACAAAAATACTAACTATATACTGTAATTGTCATTTTGTAAAATACTTAGGCTACTGTGGCTTTATGACTATTTCTCAAATACATGAATCTTTTGCATTCTCGCATTTAGAAGTTTATTAAACAAAAAAAATAATTCCAACATGAATTATAACAAATTGTTTTAATGTTATATAATATTCGATAGACTAAATTTTGATACTATACATCAAAGAAACAACCATTATGTATAACTTGATTTATTAATAAACATTTGATTATGGTTATTTTATTGATACTTAATGTTCAAGTCTAACGAAATTACTACAATTGATGAACCTGCAATAAAATTTTCTAAACTTATATTCAGACTGCTTCATATATTGAACTCTTCGAGTGACTTGTCGTGGTCACAATGACAGTGGAATCTGACATTTTGAACTAAGATTTAATGAGATTAAATTGCAATCTGATGCAAGAACTTCTGATAATGTTTTCAAATCTTCGAAAGTTTCGTAGTAGGTCATAAAAATCGTAGTCGTAGTATATCTTGTATGATAGTCCATCTATATTTTTCTTTTTTTTAAAAAAAAAAAAAGTAAAGATTAGATTAGTAAAATTACTAGTTACTATTATGTGGCCTATTACCCAAAAAAAATATTTTTTAATCCTGCTATTGACACTCTCAACCCAGAATACTTCGAGGTGAAGAGCCAGTACTGACACTAACACTTGCCAAAGAGCCAGTTACGAAAACTTAGACACCCTTATCAAGCCAATAACACTAATAGCCGACGGCAGTCGGAAATAGACCAAGGTTATAGTGTTACTTCAATCAAGGAAGGCGCGTAACCAACTCCTCCTTCGGAATCGGCAGACCTTGATGAGCGGTAATCACAACCTAATATCCCCCGAAATGCGGTTCCAAACATAATACTAACCTTTTTTTTCTTTTTTCGTAACGTATTTAATAACTCCGTGTTTCTTTTGGGTAAAAAAAAAATAGTTTGTATTCGATGGGAAGATGTTTTTCGATAAACTCTTGAGGGATAATTCAAGGCCATGAAGAATAAGGACATTTTTAAGAAAAAGTAAGTAATTTTTCGTGTTTACATTGTTTACATTAAGAATACAGTAATATGGTTACACTAGATGCATTGATAACTTTGACGTCACTTAAGTATATCCTATACATTCAAGAAAAAAATTTTTAGGAAAAGAATTTTAATTTACACGTAATTCTATAGAGTCCTATCTAAAGTAGTAAACAAAAATAGTAGCGTAGTACGACTTTAGATCTTTATACTCGTACGTATATTTAAAAATCATACCTGTCCAACTTATAAGTAGGAAAGATGACAATACTTATAAGTATAGTAAGTATGAAAACGATCATACGTGTAAGTATACCTGTGTGACGAAAATTTGAAACGAACGTTTCACGTGACAGGCTTGAATGTAGGATAATCGGAACCAAGATCAAATGCGTGATGGTGATAAATTGGTGATTAATTAAAAAGTATAAGGTAGTAAAACGAAGCATAAAAAATTAATATAGAAAATGACGTAAATGATGTAATTATGTAGTAAAAATAAGTACCGTATTCCGTTCGCCAAAGTACCCCACATGTATTGTATCCCTCATAAATTTCTGTAAAATATCCGGGTATAATGCTATGAGTATTTAGATTTCAAACTTTTAG